GTGGAAGAAAGAGATGCTTAAATAAATCATTGTAAAACTGCATGAGGAGTGACAGGATAGAGGTCTATACAGAGAGCTGTATGAGCACAGGGAGGGAGTGACCAATTCCTTCTGAGCAGAAGACGTCTGAACACAGGCTGCAGGAAGATCAGGTTTCTAGGTGGAGAGGAGGAGGAAGAGCATTAGTTCCAGAGTTTTCCAGAGCAAAGACCAGTTTTTATTCTATGATAATCTCCAGTTACCAAGGAAGCTGGCCCAATTCTGCCGATATTTGCTGATAATATTTGTGAATTCCATTGGAAGAGATTTGCAAGAAATGTCACAACAGAAACCGCAGGGCCTCCCTGGTGACCCATGGGTTAAGTCTCAGTGGGCTTGACCCATGGGTTAAGCCATATCACTGCTATGGCTTGAGATGGATCCCTGGTCAGGGAGCTAACCCACATGGTGTGGCAGACCTCTCCTGTCTCACCCGCTGCTCCCCTCAGCAGTGTATTTCAGTAAATCAGCCTGTTCTGCCCCCCACTTCATCTCTGGTGAATCTTCTTACCCCTCATACCTCTGGCCTACACCCCAGTTCTTCTATGCAAAAATAAATAAATAATTTTTTTTAAAAAGAAACCATAATAATTTTGACAGTGAGAAAAGAGATAGTTTAAATGTAGTTAGAATGTATAGATCTGATTGGAGGGAAAGAGAGATGTTGCATATACTTCTAACACACACTTTTACTAATTGGGTTAGTCAAGTTCAGGTACCTGGATTAATGCTGTCGCATCCTCAGTGCCTAAGAAAGGGCTGGTGTTTGACTGTTTGATTGACTCACTGAATGATATTGCCTTTGAGGAATTACTACAGGGGAGGCACTAATTTGGGAGTATTGAGGGTGGGATGAGAGTGAGATTGGAGAAGACACTGGAAGAATTCTCTTTAGATGTTGGACTTATGGAAACAGAAGAGAGACACAGGGGAGAAATTAGTAATGGAGATAGAGATGGTGGAGATAGAGAGGTTGGAACCAGGTATGCAGGTTTATAAGTTATTACTTTGTAGGTGATGTCCAAATGTTTGGACTCTCATGAGCTTCCCCCAGAGAATGTCTAGAGTGAGAAGAAGTCTGAGTTGGAATTCTCGGAAGAAGCACATGGAGGAAGGGGTCAGTATAGATGACCTCAGGGGAGCCAGCAAGGACATGGGAATAGAATGAAGGTGGATGATCTGGAAGCCACGTAGGGAGGAAATGCTGAGAAAGGAGAATTAACACCATTTGAGACTCAGAGACTACCAGTTGAGTGATAATAAACATATCTCAGATTTCACCATTAGAAGGGCACTAGGAATCATAGTGAGCAGATTTGAGGTGGGAAAATGTTGCTAATGAAATCAGATGGGGATGTGTTGAGAGGCTGGGTATGAATGACAAGTGAAGAAGAGAGGCTACCTCTCTCCAGAAGGAATATATTTTCCTAAGAATATATTTGGTAAAGAGAAGAAAGGAAAATATTGGTTGTCTGCATGAAACAACTGCGATAGGTGCGTTCTTACAATTGAGAGAGCAAAAATTAAGATATAAAAAAGAAGTGAGATCCTGCAACAGGTAGAAAGTGATGGAACCCACAGTTCCAGAAAGCATCAGAGTGGTGTTCTCATTCTTCTTCAAGAGAGGACAGGTAGGGGAGGAAGGCAGGGGCTGGAGATGAGGGAATTCACTAATTAAAGATGTCCTCTACTCCAGGAGATAAGGGAAAGAGGAGATGGGTCACCTGCTGAGATAGAGGAGAGGAGATGGGTGGAGAGTGGTGCAAATTTGAAATCAAGGTGGCACAGAGATTGGAAATAAGTTTTCATGGTATCATTCTTCTGTGGCCCCATATAGCTCTCAGCAGCCTGAGGGAGGAGTGCAGAGGGGAATGGGACTAGGCAGAGTGGAGGTGTTGGTGGGAAAAGGTCTTAGGAAATGAGTGTACTAGTTAGCATGAGATTGAAATGACTATGAGATGTGGAAGAAATAGAGGATGCACTCAGGACAAGCTGGTAGACTCCTGTGAGGAGAGACACACAGGGCTATGAGATGGAATGTGATTAACCTGCAAAGTAGAAATCTGCCTGGGGACCTCAGGAATGGGGTTCACATTTGCCATGTCTGACTTACATTGTTTGGGATATCTTTCCCTGTGAGGGTTCAGTTGGCCTCTTGAACCCAAATTTCAACTGCTCTGTGATTGATCTACCTCTTCCTATGATGTACCCCTTCCTAGACTCCTCAAAAGACATTTTACAAATGCCATGTGGCCTGCTTTTTAAGACTGAGCATTTCAATCATTACCTTCCATTTATTGAAAATATCTACCCAGTTCTTTTCACAGATAAGTAAGAATCAAATTCTATGTAGTGACTGGCATTCTCTAATTGTTTCTCTTTATTTTGCATGAGGCCCTTTTGTTTTCCTAACTCAGTGGTGAGCTAATTGAAAGGAAGAATGTAAGCACATCTTACATTCCTTGTCTGTGTGGCCCATTCCATTTGACCCATTGCTGTGCTGGCATAGGGTAAGGGCACTTGGTGATATTAGCACAAAGCTGAATTCATCTACTCAGGAGATCCTACTAGTGTGTTTGCACCAAAGAAATTCCAAAATGATCATTAATCATGGAAAACATTTGTTTAAAGATCAAATGATTCATTAAATAATTCCCAAAACTGGGGTCTTTCTGGTGTCCTAGGGGTTGTCTCAGCATTATCACCAATATGGCCTGAGTTTGAGTCTCAGCCAGGGAGCTAACCCACATGGTGCAGCAGAATCTCACCTGTCTTGCACTCTGCTCCCTTTAGCAGTGTATTTCAGAAGATCTGCCTGTTCTGTTCCCCACTCTGTCTCTAATGAATCCTCTCACTCCCTGCACCTCTGGTCTACACCCCAGTTCTTCTATGCAAAAATAAATAAATAATATATATATATTTTAAAAAGTAATTCCCAAAATGTGGGGACTCTCTTCCTCAAGTCAGGCACTAGGGTAAACTCTAGGGTAGAGAGGAAACTCTCCTCATCTTCATGGCATCAAGAGCCTACACAGTCGTGCAGAGGCCACAGGTACATATAAGAAATTATAACACAATGTGGAAAGGGGTTAGGATGTTCAAGAGCAATAATTGCTCAGAGAAGGGAGGAAGTTTTGGCAGAAGTGATAAGATTTGTGTGGGGACAAGGAAGACAGGTAGATTCCATTGGACAGGAAGGGACTCGTCCCCAAGGCCAAGAAGACTGGAGAGCACAATGGGCTTTGGGCACATAAGGTTGAGGTGCCTTTGAGGGCATGGCAGGAAGTCAGACAGGAAAGGAAGATGCCAGCCAAGCTGAATACCAACCTAACAAATGCCTGCCCCCATTTTCAACTTTCAGTGACAGAAATATTTAACCAAACAAAGTTTCAATGGAATGCAATAAAGAAAACAGACAATAGCCCAGCAAATCTTCTGGGAGTAGGGAGACATACGCCCATCCAAACCAGCCTTGATTCGTTGCCCTCCCTTCTTAGCACCTGGTGAGATGGGGGGGGGGGCTGCAAAGGACCCCCAGGGATTTAAGTGATAATTTGAAAAATTCTACTATAGCAATTGAGAAAGAAGTAGATGAATATCAAAAACAGGGGGAATGTGTTCAGGGAGATCAGTGGTTTAAAAGGTGAATAGCAGGGTTGTGAATGTTAGAAGTTGTAGGTGAGAAGTTGTAGGTGAGAGAGGGTCCAACCTGGCCCAGGGCCAGTGGGGCATGGGAAGGACACAGTGGACTCAAGAGTTCACTATAGCTCTTTCTTTACACATATTAATTAGAGGCTGAATATAGGGTACCAGCAGGGGAGAGAGAGAGAGAGAGAGAGAGAGAGAGAGAGCGCACAAGCACAACTGACTCATGGGGAAACCAAAGGACTTTGGGAACTAGTGTTCTAGGGATTGTCTGGTGGTTGTAGCAGAAGGATAATCAGGCAGGATGGAGCTGAAGCCATGACCTGCCTCCTGAACTCCCAGGACACTGATGACCTGGGGGCCTGGTGGGAAAATGGGGAGCCAACAACTGTCCTGATTTATAAACTAACCTGTTACACCACTGGAGAATGAGATTTTATAAAACCAAATGCTGAAAAGGCCGGGGTGGAGCTGGTCTACACATGCTTTACTGGAGGCAGTATAATTTGGGAAAGTATTTTTGGAAAGCAATTTGCATACCATGGAATCATAAAGATGTCCAAACCACTTGACCTAGTAATTCTGCATGTGGGAATTTTCCCTAAGGAAGTAGTTCAAAAGAAAGAAAGCCTGTGTTCATCTATCTAAATGTTCATTAATTAATTAAGCAATTAATTAGAAATTCTACATTGCACTACATACATTCCAGGAACTCTGCTAAGTGAATGAACACGTTGGGTGTGGCAGTGTTAACATAGTAGAACATAGTAAACAAACTAAATTATTCAAAATGCCACAATGACTTGCTCTAAAATGACACATCCATGGTTTAGGCTATGATGTTTTCATGTACATGACACTAGCAGAATTCAAAGTGGCCGGCTTGCTGCTGTGGTTTCAAGCACATTCTCTTGAGTTCACTGCCTGGGTTTGATTTCTGACTGTACCCAGCTTTGGCACCTGACCTTGGCAAGTACATTAGCACCTCTAAGGCAGTTATGACAACAGTACCTCTTCTTGTGGTTGTGTCAAGACTAAACAAGAAACAGAGTGTACAACATGCTTAGCATAATCCCTAGCACATAAGTACTGGAAAAAGTGAGTTGTTATTTTATATGTAAAATATATAAAAATGTGGGTCAATGCAAAAAAGACCCACAGAGACTGCCCCCAATTTATAATCCTAGAAAATATAGATGATTTGTCCCCTTTCTTTGTTTAGTATCATAGTAGTAAAAGTAAAGAGAACCAAGAAAGAGGCAAAAGGGTTCATCCAGGGCAAGTGAAAATGATACCAGGTCCTGTTCTCTTCCCAGCGGTGTTTGGCCAGCGTTTGGATGAGACTGTGGCCTACGAGCAGAAATTTGGCCCCCACCCAGTGCCCATCCTGGTGGAGAAGTGTGCAGAGTTCATCCTCGAGCATGGCCTGAATGAAGAGGGCATCTTCCGACTACCTGGGCAGGACAACCTGGTGAAGCAGCTGAGAGATGCTTTTGATGCTGGGGAGCGGCCCTCATTTGACAGGTATGTTTGTGCCCCCCTCAACCTCTCCTCCACCTCACTTGGGTAAGAGGACCTCTTATGGCTGCTCAGCTCCGGGACTTGCACAGACACCTCTAAGAGCCCTGGCTTGCAACAGAAAGAACCTTTTGTTTTGCTCATAATTCAGAATTTGGAAGCCTCGAGCACAGATAGAACAGTATGCCAATGCTTTGGGTAGAGGTGATGTGAACAAGAACGAGAGCCGCACTGGGCAGTCAAGAGATGTTTAGGATGTAGGAGAAGGGGAGGTGCAGAGTGTAGGAGGAAGATGTGGCTGAGCACAAGGCCCTGCCCTTGGTCAGAGGCTGTACTGGAAGCTGCATTGAGTTGTATGTATAAGCTCAGTGTGGTGGAGCACACACCATGTTTATAGCCAGGGACTCCAGTAGGCTTCCTCAGCTTACCAGAAATGGCCGGAGCAGGCTTCTTGCTAGTGTGGAAGATCAAAGTGCTGTGCAACTCTGGCTGGGTTCTGAGCCTTTGGAGAGAGCATGGACTGACAGCTTGGCAGCCTAACATTCTTCCAAGGCTCCTCTGTGGAGGTTGCCCAGTTCTGTTCGGGGTATATCAGGTGTTATTTCTTCCCACCACCCCCTTCTTGCCCCACCTCCTAGGCTTCTGGCCCAGTTTTTCTTCTTTGCCATGATCAGCCAGCACAACTCCCACCCTGGCTTGTACAAGGCCTGTTGTGCAACATTCATCCTACCTGCCTGTGTGTGCTTGTCTTGCTGGCAAGAAAGAGCCATTGTTCTTTCCCCACAGACCAAGATTTAGCAAGAGGGGCCTGTACTCTATCCAGTTTCTGAAGGCTGAAGTTCCCCAAGAATTTGTTGAGGACTGAGGAGTAGGACCAGTGCTCGGCTCGCTGAGTGTCATGCTGTGTGACAGTGTCATGGCCCCCTCTCCCTCATTTCTCACTCCAGTCACCAACATAGCCCATTCCCCAAGAATCTCTGAGCCCATCTGCTTCTCTCCATTCTTACAGCTATAGTAATAGTTTAGACCACCCCGTGTCAGTCTTTGCTGCCCTTGGCATGCAATAGGTTAATTGCCACGGGTGCTTAATTTTAACAAGAAAGCAGTAGAGTTGTAATTGAACTATCCCAAGTTATAGGCATCAAATTTAAGGATCTTTCAGTACATAAATTGCACTTCATTATAAGGCACCTGTTCAATTAACCTCACTGCCTTTATATTCAGTTTTCTCCTATGTGTTTAATTGGGTTTGAGTTGATCAAGAGATACAGACAGGGTGTTGCCCAAGCAACATGAACAGTCAGCCAGGAGGAATAGAGGTGAATGTGGGGTGTGCTAGTACCTACCTGAGGCTTCAGCTTATATACCTATAAAGTCAGCCTGGTGTGGTCAAAATCTTTTATTCCTGTGAAGTGTTGGGGGCTAAAGGAGGAAAGTTACATACCCTGTCCTGACATCCCCAATCCCAGAACTAAGGAGTAGAACTTACCTATTCAGCATTAGGAAAAGTCACCTAGAGTTCTTTAGGGTCCTCCCAGGGTCAATTTTGGGGTCCATAGGAGTCTTGGAGGTATTCATCCAGACCTTCTATATGGTTGATTTAACTGTTAATTCTCCCAAATTGCCTCACTAGAGTGAAGAAAAACAAAGGCATTCTTATTTGTTAGGTCTAATGCAGGTGTATCTAGTTCTTATTAAACATAAATATGAACTTAAAAACCTCAGGACTAATTAAAAATACTGAGCTGAATATTGCCCAGCCACAAAGTGAATGTACTTCTGAATCCTTTATTTCTTGCAAAACAGCTGTACAGGTGTGCAACATAGATCAGTGCTAGGAGGAAGGGATGGGGTAGGGCACCTGAGGGGTCTTAGTATCTGGTGCACCAGGTGTTGAACTCAACCCAAGACCATGGATGCTGAGTAATACTGTCAGGCTAACTGCAATGTAGGGACACAAGGAGAATCACTTTTGGATTCTCGAGGGAATACTGCTTCTGCAAAGTGTCAGCTAGATGTCTTTCTGCCATTGTCTCGGAAATTTCTTATGTGTTTTATCAAGAGAGCTTTGCCCAAGGATATATTTAGGCTATGACTCAGTAGGGAGAATCCCCACATTAAGCGAATGGCTCCCAACCCCAGTTTCCTCAAGGCAGCAGTGGAGCATAGACAGGGCTCTGTGCCAGTTCCTGTTCTCCTTTTGAGATAGAGAGTTCACAGGCAATGAAGGGGGGAAGGGGAGGGGGAGCTTTGCAGAAGACAGTTCCAACCACTGACTGTCAAAACCAAAAATAATTCACTCCAACACCAGGACAGAGCTTTACAATCAAGTCCTTATTCCTGCTCCCCAGATGCCTCCCTTCTCCTCCTGCCAAATCCACTCTTCCCATCCCTCCTCCAGGATATATTTCTATCCAGCCTATTCGGATCTTCCTTGTAACTGAAACCATGGAGATGCTCATATTGTCTGAACATCTTACCACATCACATCTTTTCAAAATACCACCAGGACTCTCTATTAAGAATATCAGTTTTATACCTCAATAGTGAGATGATACTCAGCTATTTCCAAAGAGGGCAAGACTGAATATATACTTTCCCATTAAGTCTGATTGCTATTCTTGGAATTTTACTACATAATGTCTGATTACAATAACTCAAAACAATGACTGGCTTGCAGAAAAAGAGAAGAAAAAAGTGGAGTCTGCTGAAACTATGTGATCTTTGATCACCTACTCAAAGAGGAAAAAGTGTCCTGAACAATATTGTAGAAATCGACCAGTCTCCTTCCCTTGATAAAAAACACCAGAGAAATTGGGCAGAGTTGAACTTCCTGAGAGCTCCTGCCCCTTTTATAGTTGCTCCAGTTCCTGACATAGTATTTTGCACCAGTAGATTCTCTCAATGTTTGTTGATCGAATGAATGATTGCGAATATGTGATGAATCCCAGAGCTATCCTAAAAGATTTTAAAAAGGTGTCTATTTTAAGGGATTAAAGAAATCAATGGGCTATGATATAAAGGAATTATTACATGAAAAACTAGAGATTCTGTAAAGAATGCTAACTTGTCAGATATTAAATGACTTGGAGGAAGAAGAAAGCAATGGAGACTAAGATAGTGAAAACAGCTTTAATGAAGAAGTAGACCTTGAACTCTGAGGCAGTTGGGTAAAAGAGGTGAAAGAAAAAGAGTTAGAGGTTATTATTCCAAAAGGGGAATAATAAGCTTGGCTTATTTTCTTCTAGAGACACAGATGTGCACACAGTGGCCTCCCTGTTCAAGCTCTACCTCCGAGATCTGCCAGAGCCAGTGGTTCCTTGGAGCCAGTATGAGGGATTTCTGCTATGTGGGCAGCTCATGAACGCAGATGAGGCAAAGGTTTGTATATCATTAGAGTTAGTTGTCCTGCTTTGGAGGAAGATGGCAGTCACTGAACAACATTTTGGCAACAGTGGTTTGGGGGATCCCATACTTTTTGGTGAGATACTTGTCAAAATGGAGCTTTCTCTGAAAAAATAGGCAGGTGAAACCATTCATGGTGACAGCATTTTTTGTGATGTAACAAACCAATAAAGGTAGTAGAAAGAGGAAGATCCTCAAGCAAATGGCCTTGCTGAGAGCTGCTGGGACACAATGACAGGTTGACAGCCTAGCGGGCAGGTGAGAGTTCAGACTATGCAAACTCTGAAGATGTCTGTGTGTGTTGGGTATGGGCATATGAAGAAGGCAGTTGCCAGGGACAGAAGGACAGGCATCTTGCTTTGTTCCTATAAGTACAGCTCTCTGAAGGCTTGTATCCCCATCTGCAACATAATGCTTGCTAGAGTGGACAAGTTCACCGGTAGAATTTTTTTTTTAAGATTTATTTATTTATTTATACAAGCACTGGGTACAGTCAGAAGTGCGGGAGGGTGACAGAATTCTCCAGAGACAGAGCAGGGAACAGAACAGGCAGACTGGCAAAATACACTGCTGAGGGGAGCAGCAGGCGTGGCAGGAGAGGTCTGTCGCGCCATGTGGAACCCTTGCCGGTGGCCAGGGATTGAACTGGCACTGCAGAGGCTGCAGGAAACTTCGCAGCCCAGCACTCAACTGCTGTGCCACCAGGAGAAGCCCTCACTGATAGAATTTTTGATCCTGTATAAATTGTTTCCAGAAAGGGTGTCTAGTCAACAGTCACCACGCTGGAGTCATGTGAATTAAACCAAGCAACCAACAGAAGAAACCAATAAAACCCAATTAACAACAATAAAAATTTCATGGCTTTTAACCAAGATTTGAAAAACCAAATGACCTATGAATTCATTTGTGCTACTGGGGTCTCACTCCCCACTATTGGAAGGTTGTTATTAGAACTAAAGAACTATGTTAAAAGCACTCTCTAGCAAAGTGGAGCACATGAAACCTACAGTGAAGACCTGAATTTAACTTTGATACTGCCATTCAGCAAAGAATGCATCTTCTGTGAAACTCAGATTATTTACTTAGACCAATAGAACTTCCTACAATGATGGAATAGATCAGTACTACCCAATATGGCCGCTACTAGCCACACCTGGCTATAGGGCACATGAATGTGGCCAGCGCAACTGAGGAGCCAAGTTCATAATTTAATTTTAATTTAATAGTCATATAGTCACATGTGGCAAGACATTGTTGTATGGAGCAGCTCAAACTTAGAATATTTCATAATAACATCTACTATCCTCAGGGTTTTTTGGAGGACTAAGGAGGGATAAGATATAGGTGAGTAACATTTTCCAATTATTAGTTTAAGTGGAGATTTGTCCTCTGCTTTACTGCAGAATTTGTTATAGAGTATGCTCTCCAGAAAAGTGTGTGTGTACATATATGTATCTACATATTCACAAATATATAGGCATGTGTAAAAGAGAGAGAGAGAGAAAGAGAGAGAGAGAGAGAGAGAGCAATCTCATGATTTTAGTAGATCTTAGTACAAGAAAAAAGGCAATTTGGTATTTCAAAACTAGGAGAGAAACAATTATAATGCTTCAGCTAACATGCTGTAACTATTGTATTTATTTTTCAATGCACAAAAAATAGGTTGCTTCATCTTGTGTAGGATATATTTTAAAAAGATTTATTTATTTATGCATACAAGAACTGGGGTACAGGGCAGAGGTGTGGGGGCTGAGAGGATTCACCAGAGATGGAGTGGGGAGCAGAACAGATGACCCACTGAAATAGACTACTGAGGGGAGAAGCGGGCGAGACAGGAGAGGTCTGCTGCACCATGTGGGTAGCTCCCTGGCTAGGGATTGAACTCATGCTGCAGTGGCTGCTGATAGCTTCATAGTGCTGAGACTTAACCCCTTGCTCCACCAGGGAAGCCCTTGTGTAGGATATTTTGTGCATAGCTATGAATTTGGGGAGGAGGGCAAAAAGGATATGGGAAGTCTAAGTAGTCAACTCACCTTCATGAAAGTAATAATATTTTATGAAATAATGTTTAAGAGTTGGCTAAAGAGATAAATCTCTCAGGTGGTATCTCATCCTGCAGCTCCAGGAAGAGTAAAGGACATGTGTGGATGGTGTTCTAACATTAAGACTCTTACCCTTGACCTTTCTCACCTCAGACTTGCTTCTCATAACTTTTCTCAAGCTCAGCATGTCTGAGGGTTTCTAACATGTGGCATTGCACATCTGCATAAGGCAGAGGGACCACAGCCTCCCTCACAGATGAGGACATGGTAGGGGCAGTGAAGAGAGTCTATAGCCACCTCTGGCAAGAATTCACTTGACTAAACTGAAGAGGAAAGAATCTCAGTAGAAGGGGCTGTCTGGATACAGAGGGCATGCACCAAGTTGCTGCCTGCAAGCTGGCAGGAGTTGCTGCCCCAGATTGCCATGAATTGATGCTCAGTTGAAGGATAGCCTGCATGTCTCATGTGACCTGGTGAACCGTCACAAGCCTGATGTTACAGAGGGTGACTGGAGACCCTACAGGCAACTGCAGCTAAAGAGAACAAATCAGCCTCCCTGTCTTCTCCCTGCACGTGCCTTCCTTGTCTGCATGAACCTGACACTCAAGCACATAACGGAGCCTGATTCCTGCACAGTCTGACCTTGCACAGTCTGACCTTGCACTTATCCTTGTGCCCCACCAGGGCTCAGCAAGTCCCAATTGTTTGGATCCCTTCTTAGAAGTGTCCTTCTTTTATTACTACTTCTACAGTGATTTTGAGATATTTGGTTGTGGTCTGATTCTTTAGTGGAGAGTCACATCTTGAGCATTCAGGAAACAGGCAGTTATTGTGCATACAATCATCAAATGGTCCTTGCGTTAGAGTAGCTCTGAGTCTGGGAGAAGGGCAAAGATAGAGACAATTAAAAAAAAAAAACACTGTACAAAAACAATGAGCCTCTCCATACTATTTTTCCAACTTCCTATGAATTTCTCATCATCACAAAATAAAAAAAAAAGTTTTTAAACCCATAAAACTGTTGTAGTAGGCATGACTGCCCAAGTTATTCTGCACTGATCCACCAGTTGCGTTCCAGGTCTCATCTCTGGCAGGTGAGCAGGCTCATTTATTGATGCTCAAGATCTCTTAACATATCAAATGTATCAAGTTAAAAAAAAAACCTCTCTTCCCAGGCTCAGCAAGAGTTGATGAAGCAGCTCTCCAACCTTCCTCGAGAGAACTACAGCCTCCTGAGCTACATCTGCAGGTGAGCTCCCCCTCCCTACCTCTCTCCTCCCTTGTCCTCATAGTCCCCAGCCTTCAGCCCTTGGCAGAAAGAAATCCCAAGTTGAAGGAGTCTGTGGTGTCAGAGATGCTGCTTCACCAGACCTTTGGAAGGTCAACTATATACACAGCACTGAGGTAGTTTCCTGTGCCCACAAGAAAATGTTTTTAGATTGAATATTAGTTCATAACATTATATAAATTTTAAGTATATAAACTTTTAAATCAACATCTGTGTTATGTTCGATATAAGCTTCCAGTTTCTATCCATCACCACAGACTTAACCCCTTTTGCCTGATCTACCCAGCTCCCGGTCCCCTTCCCTTCCCGTAAACTCTGTTTGTTCTTATAATTTGAGTTTGCTTTTGTTTGGTTCAGTTCTTTGTTTGCTTTTGTTTGGTTCAGTTTTGTTTACATATTGATTATATGATTTTGTCTTTCTCCATCTGAATTATTACACCAAGCATAATATCCCCTAGTTCTATCCCTGTTACAAATGGCAGGTTTTCATCTATTTTTTTAATAGTTGAGTAGTATTCCATTGCACAGGATAATTTTTTTTAAAGATTTATTTATTCATTTATAGAAGCACTGAGTACAGTCAGAAGTGCAGGAGGGTGAGAGAATTCACCAGAGACAGAGAGGGGAACAGAACAGGCAGACTGATGAAATACACTGCTGAGGGGAGCAGTGGGCGTGGCAGGAGAGGTCTGTCGCGCCATGTGGGACCCTCGCTGGCGGCCAGCATTCGAACTGGCACTGCAGAGGCTACGGGCTGCTTCACAACCCAGCACTCAACCGCTGCGCCACCGGGAGGCCCTGCACAGGATAATTTAAAGGATCCCTGAAAATTTAATCAGCATGCAAAATGAACATTTCCTGCACAGATGTACCACAGCATTGCCCAGAGTTCTGGCACAGGCAATGGAATTCATCATAGAATCATCTCATAATGGTTCTAGAATCATCTCCCATCTTCCTGACTCTTAGACCATAATTCAGTGCCCTAGAGACAGTCATTCCATGCCACCTCTTTTCTTTCCCTTTCTGAGAGCCTACTGTGTGGCATTACTGTGGCAACATGTAGTGGCTTGTGGCAACACCCAGACCTGGCTGATTTGGAGACCTGTGCCAGTCTTCAGATGACTGAGTGAAAGGAGCCCTCCCTGATGCTCACTGCAAAAGAGAAGACCTTTCAAATGTTCCAGGGTCGTTCACTGTGAGGGCGGGTGGGGGAGAATAATCACATTGTAAATATCTTAGTGAAGCCTTGTTAGAGAGCTGTTTTAGATATTGTCAGAGAGAGCTGAAATTTATCTTTATTTTTAATAAGCTGTTGTAGTTTATAGTTCCCTGACTGGAAAAGTGATAGGGACTTAATCTGTAGGTCAGAAAATTCAATACGGGCCTCCCTGGTGGCGCAGGCGGTTGAGAACCGTGCTGTGAAGGTGTCCACAGCCTTTGCAGCACCAGTTGGATCCGGCTGGCCTGCGAAGGTCCCACATGGTGAGCAGACCTCTCCTGTCTCACCCGCTGCTCCCCTCAGCAGTGTATTTTATCAGTCTGCCTGTTCTGTTCCCCGATCTATCTCTCTGGTGAATCCTCTCACCCTCCCACTAATCTGTCCTGTTCCCTGGTTCTTGTACAATTAGATAAATAGATAAATAATTTTTTAAAAGAAAATTCCATACTGTAAATAATATTTTAAAATTATCCATAATTCCCTCACTGAGCAAAAATCACTATTAATACTTGGGTTTTATCTAGTTCCTTCCTTATGGATGTTTTTCTCTCTTTGTTAGATGTTTATATACATTCATAAAAATATAGGGGAACAATTATTTTATACCAAACTGAAATTTTACATATATTTATAAATGTCATACATGTGCATGCATACATATATGTATGCATGTATATACACACATGTATGCACAGTGTGCATCTTGCTTGATTGTCTGGACTTTATGTTATATTGTGAATAGTTTGATATGTCACACAATAGGATTATAAATGATTGTAATAATTCATAATGTTTCTCATTTGCACATGCCATCTGTTTGATAATTTCTCTGTATTTGGAATTTTATGTTTTATCAACCTATTCATTAAAAATGGTTTTTGGAGAGAGTTCTTAGAAATTCCTTTGCTTATCTGCTCAACTTTTTGAAATAGTAAATCTGAGATTTCATGCCCCAAATGGGTGAAATTATAGTAAATATTCACTATTAGTTATTGAACATTTGCTGAGAATTTAAGATGCTTGGTGCTGTAATCAGAGGATGAACAAGGAAGTAGCATGAATTCCCTCTGAGACTCTCTTATGATAAAGATTTCCTCCCTGGAGACTTGGGTGGGGTAGATGCTGTGAGCCTGGGCAATGAACCTTCAAGTTAGGAGTGGCAGTCAACATGCACGTTAGTCCTTCTAGCCTGTTAGCTCCCTGAACTGCATGCATCAGCATTCTGCTGATGCGACCTTTACCCCTAGGGGCTGTGCAGGCCCCTCCTGGTTTCTCTTTTTGCTAGATCTTAACTCTTTTGAGAAGAAGCAAAACTCTGGTAGGGTGGAACAGGCTGGTCCCATTTCTGAGACCAGAGTAAAAAGCTGGGATTGATCCTTGAGCTATCATTAGTACCTGGAAAGTGCTTCCTTCTGGTCACTTCCTACTTCCTACTCTGAGTTTTCCTGGCTGCCCATAGGTTTCTACATGAAATCCAGCTGAACTGTGGCGTTAACAAGATGAGTGTGGACAATCTGGCTACTGTGATTGGTGTGAACCTCATCAGGTCGAAGGTCGAAGACCCTGCTGTGATCATGAGAGGTAGGGCTACCCCTGAGGTGAAGGCAGCTATAGGAGAAACAGCGACAATGACTGCTAACTCCTGGCATTCTCAACTCCTCTGAAATTGCTAAGAATTTTCAGCTGATTTTGTCTGATTTTTAAAATAGCTCTGTGAAGTAGAAAGAGCAGGAATAATGTTCTTTTTTTTAGATCACAACAGAGAAGAGAGGTTAGAGATGTACCCAGTGGTCACAGTATAGTAGGCTAGCATGAAAGCAGTTAGCTACTATTTCTTAGTCTTTTATTATTTCTAAATATCCTAAGCCTGAGAGAGCAAACAAGTTTCATTTTATAAGCCAACTGCAAAAAATTTTGCTTGTAAGGTTGTGTTGAAAAGGCTTATCAGGTTTGGTCCAGTGAGCAGAATTTCTGGCATAGAGTATCGATGTGTCCACGGATTTGGGGAGGCAGTAAGTCTAGCGCATAGGTGTAGTATGGGGGATAAGAAATCAGATGTCATATTGAGGCCACATCAGGAGGGAAAGGTGTCTCATTTTCTCTCCTGCAAGTTGCCTATTTCCCAATCAAGACTGACCCAGAGGATTGTAAGATGGAAATAACCCTCTTCACCCCTCTCCATGTCCTTTTTCTATCCCATCCCATCCCATCCCATCCATTCCCATCCCTTTCACCTCTGTCTTTTACTCCAAACAATTAAGAGAAGAAAAATGATGTACTTTTGGGCCTTGTGGTTTTAGAACCCAGTTAGGAGACATTTCATGGATGGAGAGAGACCCTTGTGTCTCTGCATCCCGGCCCATGGTTAACAATTACTAATCTCCTTCTTCTTTCTTTCAGGGACTCCTCAAATCCAAAGAGTAATGACCATGATGATCAGAGACCATGAAGTTCTCTTCCCCAAGTCTAAGGATGAACCCATATCACCTCCTTCTCAGAAAAATGACCCCAAGAAACCTCCAGTGGCTCGAAGTTCTGTGGGCTGGGATGCCACTGAAGACACTCCAATTTCTAGGACAGACAGCTGCAGTAGCACGGTAAGGTGCATAAAACCTTCCTCCTTCTATCTGACTCTTCCTTGAGTCCAGGTAATTCTATGTAAGAGCTGCTCTGGGGTGGTAATTTGGGGAGTTTTGGACGATCCTGCAGTAATGGGCATGGCTGGTACAGGTCCATTCGAATATATCTAGAAAGCCTGACATCTTTCAAGATTTAGTCTCTGTTGGCATCTTGGAGGTAGGTTTAGTGGTTTGTGGAACAATGGGTGTCCTCACTGACATCCACTCCAAAAGAGAAACCCTTTCAAACAGTCCAAGGAAGTTCACTAGGGAAAAGAAAAACATATCACATTGTACATTTTTTAGTGAGAGTTGTTGAAAATTCCGAGTGAAAGTCCAGAGAGAACTGGTTTCCTGCTAACCCATGAAACGTGATTCCTTTCTCACAGCATGTGATGTGTTCGTGTAACATTTCTCATTCCATGATAAGTTGTCTCAGCAATGTCAGCCCCTTATTTGTGCTGAAGGGTAGGGGTGCACGTCCCCAAAGATGAAGAACTTTGCAGATTCTGAAATGTAGACATTTGAGGGTGATAATTTACAAAGGTCAAATTTTTTTATATTTAGAAATTATAGATGTTGTATATATGTACACACATACAATTTTTATACATATACAATTTCTATAACAACGTGATTCTTTATGTGTGACCAAGAAATGAATTCACAGTTCTGCTTGGCCAGGAAATGTAAGTTACTTATATTACTATTAATCCTGGTGATGATTTTAAAAGTATTTTTAAAAGGGTAGATTAGGGTCATAGTTATGATTTTTCTTAAGTGATGTCTGTTTGGATATAGTGTATCTTACTGATGCTCTAAATTGAATTAATATTTAGAAATGCTTAGGTTTCACATAGTGAGATCATCCTAGTAGTCCTTGAAAGTAACAATTATTATGTTTACTTGACAGGTTTCTGCTGTTTATTGAAATAGCAATGGCAGCTACAGGCTAGCCCTGTCTGTCTAAATAGATTCCTTTTGGGGTCCTTGCCATAAATCTGGAGGACAGAAATTATCACCCATGTTTTATGACTAATCCTCCTACTTTTTCTCTTTTCAAACTTTCTGAGGTTATTTATCTCAAAATAAATTCCCAGAAATTAGATTTCTGAATCAAAGGATAAAGAGATTTTTATTTGTGATCTTGATTAAAATTGTTAAATATAAATTGTGCCATTTTATACTTATGCCAGCAATATAGGGAAGGCCCTGATCATTATCTTGGGAACTTGACAAGTGGGAAAAACCCATGTAATATCCATGACCATTTTTCCTAGACCAGCAGCTCAGATGTAACCAGCCCGACTGGACAACGACACAGCGATGAGTTTCTGGAAGAGAGCAGGGAAATACTAGGAGATTGGAAGTTGCATTCACGAAAAAGGACTCAGACACTCCCTAACCGGAAATATTTCTTGATGTCTGCTTTTCAAAGTGCCAACAGCAGCAAAGTGGAAATCTTTAAAAGTGAATTCTGGTCACCTTCAGAGTCAAAGGCAGGGGAAGGGCACAGGAGAACAATGTCCCAAGATGTGCCTCACTTGTCTGACTTCCAGCGGACTTCCACCTATGATAATGTCCCTGCCCTGCCTGGATCCCCTGGGGATGACGCGGTGGTATGCTCCCCCCATGCCTATGACTGCAAGAGGGACACCCTTGTCAGCCCGAACTCTGAAACTGGATTTGGAAGAAAGGACTCTGGAGAGGAGGAAATTGAATCATTGCAGAAAGTGGTTCAGGAGCTGCAGAAGCAAATAGAAACACAAAAGCAAACATATGAGAAACAGATTAAAGAGTAAGTCACATCCAGAGGGACCCTGGACAACCACGTGGCTGCCATCCTCAGAAGCAATGGGGACTGATCTTATGTGGCAAATAAATAACATTATAAAACTTCAGTTTCAGGAATACAGTGACCATTAGTGGTTGGGCTTAATAAGGTAAAGGGTAAAGGGAGTGATGACTAAATCAGTGAAAACACTAAGCTTTATATTAAATTTATGAAAAGTTAAGTGTGTAACTTAAAGAGCTTAAAAATTGTTTCGTAATTGTGGTTCTTTAAGAGCCAATATGTTTTAATGAATTAAGAGAAACTTGAAAATTTTCCACATCCATGTACTTTGTTATTTCTGCAAATATTTATTAAGCACCTACTGCATGCCAGAAACCATCCCACCTGTGGGAAGTAGCACTGAGCAATCTAACAAAAGCCCCTGTGTTTATAGAGCTTTCCTTCTAGAGGGGACAGACAATACAATGTAATATTTTAATTACTTTTTGTAGTTAAATTATTAATTAAAATATTACAAGAGGTAATTAAGATATTAGTGTATATTTTAATTACAGGAGGTCATTAAAATACATACTATAGGGAGAAATGAAGCAGGGCAGGAGGATGGGGATTTCAACGAGGAGATTTTAATGTTAAACAGATGATCAGGAAGGCCTCACTGAGGAAGCATTCAAGCAGAGTGCTGAAGGAGATGAGGGAATAAAGAGGCAGAGAAACCCAAAGGTGCAGAGGATGTGGGGAAGGCAGGCCTGGTGTGTTCATACCCAGGAGGAGCAGGGGTAGACTGGACCAGGGTGGCAAATCTGACAGGACACACCAGAGCATATAAGCATATAGGACCTTGACAGTCTCCTCAAAGCTGAAACAGAGCTTCTGGATGACTCTACCTAACTGAAGCTTTACCAGATCACAGAGATGGTTGATTTCAGGCTGCAGGTGGCAAGCAGCAGAAGGCCAGTGATGAGGATATTGCCACAATTCCTAAGAGGTTTAGGCACAGTTTGCTCTTAGATAAAATATTTTCTCAGGGCCTTTTTCATACCACTCCTTTTGCATGAGGGAAAACCTCAAAACCACTTAGCCTATATAAACCCCAATCACTACCCAATAAGGTAGTGAAATGTGAACTAGTGGGGTTTTCAAATTACAGGGACTTTTAGGTCCATTAAGACATGAAAGGAAGATTTGTGTGAGTCTTAATCCTTTGTTTACTATAGAGGACTGCCTAGTTAGAAGCAAAATGTGGCTCTTTTGTCTAAGAACCTGAAATCAAGCATGTGTAGAACTACAAGACTTGAATGACAGCTCAGCAGTGTCCAGAGTTACCCCAAGGAAGACCCCACTGTGCTCTAACCTGGAGGTCACTGACATGCAGGAAAGCATTAGCTGCCCAGAGACAGCTGCTTCTCCTGAAGGGAGTAGAGTCTGAAGAATCTACCTGTTCCCAGAGACTCCCCATCCTTGGCAGAGGGAGGAGAGGTAATGGGCCAGTGCCTGATCTAAGCTTAGTGCTTCAGACATAGCTTCTGACATAATCTCCATAGCATTCCTGTGAGCCAGGTAACATCCCCATTTTAGAGAAGAAATGTGAGCTCAGGAAGTATAAAAGGATACCTGAACTAAATCTTTGGTGAGACTGGGATTTGAACCTGGGCTAGTCAGACTCCTAAGCCCACACAGATACCACCTGCACAATGTTTCCCAGAGCAAAAGGGATATGTAGAATTTGGAGAAGTATACTTTTAATGGGAGTGTCAGAAGGTGTGAGACCAATTTAACATGACAGGAGCTGTTGCAGAAGCAGGCCAGGCTCTGAAGAAAGGCCATTTCACACAGATTGGGCCCTTGAAGATAGAAGCCAGGCATGGGCTCAGATGGGAACTCATGTTTCCATAGGAAATTGGGCAGGCTAAAGGGGATCAGGCAGAGAGCAATTCACAGAATAAAACTCTGAAATGAACTTCTAATCATATAATTTTCCCATTGGCCTGATATTCTCTCTTTTGGCTTAAATAGGTTCTTATGTACTCTCCTTCCTAAGGATTAATTCAGCATGGCCTAAAAGAGGAACACCTGGAACTAGATTAGGATTTTGGCCAATAACAATGAACTTAGGAATACTGGGAACTCAGGAATAAAACAGAACATTCACTTCAGAAGTGAGACTGGGCCTGCCAGGGCCACTTCTCCCCAGTGGGCAGTTCCTAGTACTTCTCCAAGTCTTAATCCCTTGACCAAGGCACTGGGAAGAGAAAACTCTGGCCTGTGTATATCTGGTGTATAGTGTATTAGGAATCTGGAATATGGATTTGGCCTCAGCTGTCAGTTTGGACAAATGCAAGGTGCTATGGGGGGTGAACTATACACACATTAGAAGTGGTCCATTCTTTCTATGGCTTTATTATCTGGTTGAATATACAAAGCATAAAACAACATGAGATGTCACAAGATGATGTCAAGCTCCCAGACCAGCTCTGGGACCTCAGGTTCACTGGGAATTCCTCATATTGGTGGGGAGACATAAATTACAGGTGCAGGTTGGATGTGGGATGTGGCAAGGGAAATGAACAGAAGAGTTTGTAAGCCAGGGTAAAGACTGTCTAGAGGGAATGCCTTGTTTTTTCACTTTTTTTTTCCTTCCGTTAGGCTTGAGAAGGAAAATTTTGATGTGTGGACCAAGGTAGTGAGACTCAATGAAGAACTGGACAAGCAGAAGAAGTTATTTGCAGCTTTGGAAATCACCCTCCAGAATGTGGAGCGCTCCCGGGAGGATGTTGAGAGGAGGAACAAGGCCTTGGAAGACGAAGTTAAGCAATTTGTTCAATCGATGAAGGAATCCAAGACTGATGCCTGAGGGTCCCAGGACAACTACAGAAACAGGCCACAGTGGCCCCATCCCACTTCCTTTCTCAGTGCCACCCGGTGACTGGGAAGTAAAATTTTTCCCCAGGAGAGAATTCTCTCTCCCCAGGGAGAGAACATTTGGGGGGCGGGGGGATCAGCCCATCTCCTGGTAAATCAGTCAATGGAGTTTGCAGGAAGATGAGGATGAGTAGGGATGCGTGTGACACAGGGATAAACTCCCTGTGTTTATCTAATCCCTTGTTTACTGTAGACAACTGCCTATTTAGAAGCAAAATGTGGCTTTTTTGTCTAAGAACCTGAAATCAAGCATGTGTAGAACTTCAAGACTTAAGTGACTGCTTGGCAGTGACTAGAGTTACCCCAGAGAAGACTCCACTGTCCTCTAGCCTGGACGTCACTGACATGCAGGAAAGCACCAGCTGCCCAGAGACAGACCACATCTCAGCGTCTGGCACCAGGCTGGCCCCATGGAGGCTATACAAGCCGTTGGTTCTTTGTTTTCCGTGTGGAATAACCATGGTAGCTGGATGGCCTCGGGATAGCTCTGTGCACAGGGGCAGAAGAAAAAGTCAAATTTTAAAAGCTCGCCCATCTTGGGCCATGTTTTAGGAGTGCTGCAGCTGCTAAAGACAGAACCTTATTCTGCCACTCCCACCACAATGTACACTCTGCAGGAGTTGGAAACTCAAAAATATTATGAGACTAAAAGAAGCCATAAACTGTATTTATGAAAAAAAGTCAACAGGAAAATTATATTCAAATAAAGTAAAGGGCAAAAAGCAGGACTATTGGTAATGTATACAATGCTTTTGTGAGAATTAATAAAAGATGCACCCTCTCTGGGGACATGGCTTGGTGAGCAGGGCACGGGCTGGGTGCAGGTGCTATTTGCCTTTCAATAGTCATAGCAGTGTATGGCGGGCCTGGAAACAAAGGTCTTCCTGCTGCAATGTGACTCCTGATTGGGAATATAACTAGTAATAATCACGGTAATGATACATCTCCTATTTGACTGAAGGTCAAGTGATTTCACCCTTTACAGAGACAGGAGCATTAGAGACTAGCTGGGAAAAGGGGCTTTCCTAGCAGACAGCTGACTTTTTCCCCTTCTCTATTAGGCCCCTGAGACTCACTAGGTAGGACTGTGGAGTCATTGATGGTATGTTTCATTGCGACAGATGGTCTCTGAGCTCCTTTGCCACATTAGTAGACACTATCTGGGTACCCACCACCCCGTGATAGGTATCATTATTAATCATGGACCTGTACTACTGGATGGCGATGTCATGTATACCACAAAACACATAGAAGATAAACTGAATAATGCTGAGATAAATACAAACATAAACATATGTTCTCACTGTGCTTTCTGCTCAGGATACCACTGGCCCAGTTTCCCAGCAAGTATTACTTGTATAGTTTTACATCTTTCATTCTGTGGCTCCCATACATTTCACTTGAACTCTTGAAGCCACGTGGCTTACTTAGTTACTTGGACTCTATGGCTCCCACAGAGAGAGGTTAGCCTTTCCCATTATACATGTCTCCTCCATTATTCCTTCTTCTCCCTTGTTCTCTCACTTTTTTTCCTCCAATCCTCATTCTCTTCTCTTTGCCTATTTCCTCCCTTCCTATGGCCATGGTATATTACCCACAGTGTAAGAGGTACAGACAGTGTGTGTGTGTGTGTGTGTGTGTTTCTCAGTCCTGCTACTCAAGCCCTCCTCCTCCTTCCTTCCCCAGTCCCCTTAATTTGCTTGCACAAGTTTGGGGGGAAACTGATTTAGAACATTATTAAGTAATGCTATGTTTGATTTCCTGGGGTTTGCTTGTTTTTCAATCAGTCACCAACCTGGAAATACTTATTGAGCACTTAATTTACACTTACAAGTGTCTGCAGTTCTGCCAGGTTCTCTGGTGGGTCCCTCATACCAACTCTTTGGGGCTGAAACAGAGTAGAGTATGGGAGTAGCCAGCTCTGCTGGAAGGTACAAATGCAGGCCCTGTGGTCTGTTTGGAAATGTGTGTTGCAGAACCTCGCTGGGAATGGAGGGAGAACTCAGGCTGAGAAGAGTGCCACGTTTGGATCCCAAGTCCCTCCTGGGATAAGGAAGCAGCTTAAGAAACTGGCGTGTCAATTCCTTGGAATATCAATTTCTCTTTGTGAACAAGAGGGACCTGACTTAACTTCTCTCGCCACATCTTGGTCCTATGCCAGCCTCCACATTTTGAGATCACACAAAATGGAGTTTTTCCAGGCCCACAGGCCCTTGTGACTCCAACGAACAGCCAGGAAGAAAATCTGGGTCTGATGTCCTGTCTTCAGGGCCCCAAAAGTTTATACATGGGCTGCATGGAAGGTAGCTCCAGGTCTCCCCTGGACCAACGTGACAGTTTCTGAGAGGCTGACTCAGAGTCTGACCTAGGTCCTTGGTGTCTATAGCACCCCAGAGAGCCCACATTGACTTTGAAATTCCTTCCGTGGGCAGAACTCTACTCAGTCTGCCTTTTTCCAGCCACCCCCAGTCCTCCCACACCTTAACCCCTTTCTACCTGCACAGATACTGAGGACCTAAAAGCTCTGCAATATGGACTTTAGAACTCCTGTCCTCTTCCTACCAGAATCCTTTGTTTTTGTAAGCACAGCAAGTATCAGAGCACTTCCCCCTGAGTTTGAGGCAAATCTGACTGTTCTCCAGCAGGTTTGTGCACTGAACAGTACATTTGTATTAAGGGGGTCAGGGGGCATGAGCCCTCTCAGTCCATTCAGGCTGCTATAATAAAATACCAAAGACTGTGTGGCCTATAAACAACAGAAGTGTGTTTCCTATTTCTCTAGAGGCTAGAAGTTCAAGATCAGGGTTGGGTGAGGTCCCTGTACAGAGTTGCAGACTGCTTATATCCTCATATGGTGGAAGGGGCTAAGAATCTCTGCCCTCTTTTTAAAAAAATCTCTTTTATAAATCGCTAATTCCATTCATGAGGGCTTCCCCCCTATGACTTACATCCCAGATGCCTCACCTCCTGCTAGAATCATCTTTAGGGGTTAGGATTTCTACATATGAATTTGTTGCTGTGTATGTATGTGGCATGGGGGGCGGGCATGAACATGCAGACCATAGCAATTCCCTGCCAATTGGTTTTGGTCATGGTCTGAGAGAGATGGAATGTGTGTAGCATTCTCAGGACAGAGCCAGCTGCAGAGGATGTAAGCAATAAATGCTTTTGTTGTTATTTAGACTAATGCTCAAAGCCTTGCTCAGAGGCCCCTCCACTCAGAAAATCACAAAGCAGGAAACTTAGAAGCAGCCAAGGCCGCTGAGAAGGGGAGGACCAGGAGTGCCCTGGCACAGCATCCCTCGCCTGCACCCCTCAGACGCAAGATTAGAGGATGTGCGTGTACTGATGTTGAGTAAACTTCCACATTCCACCACTTCCTCTGACGATACCATCAGTGGTCAGGCCATGTGCTTGCTGGGGAGCAGAGAGATCAGTGAAAGGCCGCCCCTGCAATTCGTGGGCTGCCTTTGCAAGAATCATATGAAAGCCTCCTTTCTGCCAGGGATGGCTGGGTGCAGGGATCCCAAAGGATGAGATTCAGCTGCCACTCAAGGTTCTAGACTGGCATTTGGTGGGCAGCAGAGATCAGAGGGCATGTGTCTGTGACGGCTCCCCAGGGTGACTTCAGGCAAGAGATGAGCAGAGAATGCCAACCTGAGAATGCAATGCCAACCTCTCTTTTCTGTCTGCAAACTAGCTTAGAAACAATCATAGAGGCCTTAGAACTTTAGGCCCATAGAACTACCCTTGAGCTTGTCTGATCTAACCTACTCATTTAATGTATTGGAAAAAAAACCTGGAGGCATAAGTTCAGTGGCCAGTGTTACACAGTGATGAAGAAGAGGATGAAAGGTGAGTTTTGAGAGCTTGTTTGGAGGTTCTAGCAGGGGAGCGCAGCTACTCGTATACCCTCGACCGAAGACCGGTCCGTCTCTATTCGGGGAAGGCCGTCCTCTTCGACCGAGCGCGCAGCTTCGGGAGGGACGCACATGGAGCGGTGAGGGAGGAAGGGGACACCCGCCTAGCCAGCCAGATCAGCCGAATCAACCCTGGCGATCAATGGGGTGACAGATGTCGCAGCCAGATTGCCCTCACATCCTGAAAGGTGAGTTTTGAAAGCTCCTCTACACGCGGAGAAACCCATGGAACATGGGTTTGCTGAGTGCTTCCAGAACATAGAGCTTGGCTCTTAGTCACAACCAAGACCTACCTTCTAGGATACCATTTTCCACCCAGTTTGTATTTATGAATGCTGTTCCAAAAGACTGATTCTCAGTCTTGGCTGCGTAACAGAATCACTGTGAGGACCCTTAAAAAAAATTCTCATGCTCAGATCCCACCTCATATCATTTGAATCAGAAACTGGGCAGGGTGGGGGTGGGGGGTAAAGGAGGGGAAGGAGGTAGAGTATAATATTTTTTTTTTCTTAAAAGTGCTTCTCAGATAACTCTTATATGCAGTCAGGATTGTTAAGCACTATTCTAAAGCTGTTAAATTTGGCTCAAGCTATGACTAATGATCACATTAAATCTCTGTTCCCCTCTCCAACCAACATAATAAATAGGACTCCCTAGCCTCCCTATTTGCTGATTTAACGTGTGCTCATTCATTTAGAATAAGAGCTGCCTGAGAGGCAGAAAATGGATTTATGTGATATAACATCCCATTTGGCAGATGGGGAAAACTGACTTGAAGATGTTACCCAAAAATCTCAATATAACAGTATTGTGAGATGGAAGAAAAAGAACACATTGGTCTCACCCCTCTTCCTGGCACTGAGTTCTAAAACCCTTGTGATTTCCTGGGTGGTAGGGATGTCTTTTGTTCTAATAAGCAACTCAGTAGTTGTGGAGGGAACAGTGGCTCCCAGATGAAAGCTGACACTGGAAAGACCAGGTCATGATTAGAAGGTTGGAATTTTCAGTCCTGCTCCCTATGCTCTTGAGGAGAGGGGCTGGAACTGGGATTAATGATCAGTCACACCTTTGTGATAAAAATACTGAAATTATGGGGTGCAGAGAGTTTCCAGGTGGAAGAACATATCCACAATCTGGGAGGGTAACACCCTGACTTAATGGGGACAGGAACTCCTGCTCTTGGAACCCTTCCTGACCTCATCTACATCACTTCATCTCTTCACCCATATCCTTTATCATATCCTCTAATAAACTGGTAAATGTGTTTCCCTGAATTCTGTGAGCTACGTTAGCAAATTAATTGAACCAGAGGAGGAGATGACAAGACCCTCAGCTTTACAGCCTATCAGTCCAAAGCACAATCTGGATAGTCTAGACTTGTGATTGGCATCTGAAATGGGTGGGAAGCAGTCCTGTGGGATTGAGTCCTTACTCTGTGGGATCTGACACTATCTCCATGTACATGTCAGAATTGAGTTAAATTGTAGGACACCCAGTGGATGTCATAGGCAATTGCTTGGTGGGGGAAAGCTCCTAGACATGGGTGTTGAAACAAAGGAAGACAGGGGTTTTCCTTTACAAGTATCTTAGTCATGAATAAATCCAAAGAGTTGGAAATTTCTTAAGTATATGGGCATACTCTCAACTAGCTTGAAGGGTTGACTCAGTAAATGGACAAAGGAATTCAGCATTTCAAGCCTTGATTTCAAGAGTCCCCAAAACATCTCTGGCTAATCATCTATCTCCCTTTTAAGCCCATAGAAGATCTAGGGGCCTTTAGAGTATTAACCACAATTGTGACATGATAGTGAGACAACCATGAAATCACCACTGCTTGTTAATATCACCTTTACATTTGTTA